ATAATCTCTACTTTTTAGGATTGTGTCGACCAATTTGCTCTAGTATCAACATCATTTAATTACCAACCATCTGCACAACTATTATGCGCTCACTCTGTAACAAAATCGAGATTTTAACCAATTTCTTACAGATTTTAAGATTGACATTGCCAGTCTAACCGAAACTTGACTAAACCCTAGTAATAATCAAACTATTCTTTCCCAAATCAATAATAAATACATTTACATAAGCACTAAACGTCAGGATCACATAGGTGGTGGTACTATTTTATTCGAAAAATACTCAGATAAAATAAAACAAACAAAATTAATGCCCGACTGTTCGTTTAACTTGGTGTCTAAAAAATATACCTCCTGTATAGTTATATGTGTCTATATTCCGGTTTGGTCACAAAGTGAGCAGCGCAATGCATCTTATTAACTTACAAAACTTATTGAGTCAGCCATAACACGCAATACATTTAGCAACAAACCACTAATAATTCTTGCAGGGGATCTAAATGGTTGCTCTACTAATTTTATTTTTTGTTCTCATTTTAAAGCACATCCTACCCAAAAATCAGCTATGCTTGACATCATCTTAAGTAAAGCTCCTAAATGCTATGTGTCCAGTACCATTCCTAGCTTTGGTAATTCAGATGACCTTGTTATACTTAGTCAGCCTCCTCTATATCTTTTTTAATGAACTTGCCAGGTACTGGAAAGGTACTCGTTTAGAAGAAAATCACCTGTATAACTAGGTAATACAGGTAATTTTCTTCTGGAAAAATAGCCTTTTGGCGAGAAATCAGGCTAATTTACCAACCCCATCTTTAAGACATTAGCAAACCAATTAAACGATCATTTTGAAAGTGTTTGGATTGATAAGAAACAACCTAACCTCTCGTTCTTCATCAACCAAAAAGTAAACTCACCTATTACCCTCATTTTTACACTTAATAACATTCTAAACCAACTCAACAAACTAAATACAGGATTTTCAGGACCAGATGATTTTTCTCCGCTTTTACTCAAATCTGCTCACTTGGAAATTTCCCCATCACTCTGTATCCTATTTAACCGTCTCATTGAAAACAGTTATCTACCTGACCAATGGAAAGCAGCAAACATAATAGCAATTCCTAAAATATCTAATCCACTCTAATCTAATGACTACCGTCCGTTTACAATTACATCCGCATAATGTAAAATTTTGAAGGCCTTATTAGCAGTTTCATTATCCATCACACCAAGCACATATGGGTCTTAAACAAACAGTTCGGTTTCCTTCCAAAACGTTGTACAATGGATGCTATTTTTCAAATTATAAAGGAATTATGTTAAAGATAATAACAAATCACGTTTTTCAATATTCATTGATTTTACAAAAGCATTTGATTTTGACGGTCATGACAAATTACAGCAAAAAGTTAATAAATATTCTACCTAGCTGGCTCACTTTCTGGATTGCAGCCTATTTATCTAACTGTTGCCAAAGAATTAAAACGAATACTCTCACCATTAACTGGAAATGTATTGAAGCCGGAGTACTTCAAGGTAATGTTTTTCCTTCAATTTTGTATTATCTTTATTTTTAACGCCTATCTAACTTTGAAAATCTATCTCTCTTCCACCTCTAACCACTCTCTAAAAGTATACTGACAACATCCTAACATATAATCTACTATAAAATTCCTGCTAACTTGCCTTCATCCATTTTAGATGCTGTTGCTCTATGATCTGTTGTCAATAAAATAAAACTTAATAGCTCTAAATGTAAAACCATTAGAATTGATCCTAGGTGCTACGAAACTCTTTTGTACTCAACAATACTGAGCTTGAAAAAGTCAACAGCCACAAATACCTTGGAATTATGCTCAATGAGAATCTTGGTTAGGATGAACAATAGACAAAAGTACACAACAATATAAAATCAGCACCATATATACTCAAACACTTTAAACAAATCGGACACACTCAGCTCAAGTTTCTACAAGTCTATAGATCTTACGCTATTAGTCACTTGATATATACTGCTTCTGTTCTTACATGCAGTGCTGCAAAAAATTACAATATTAAATGACATGGCGCCAATTAAAAACTATCCACAGCGTAAAAACAGATTTAGCGATCGATCACCAAAGCTGCTATTAAAGAAAGGAACTTTATAGCTAAACAATTTCTTAAAAATCATAATTCAGAGACTCTGAAATTAAAGCTAAAAGAAGCTAAAGCAAAAGTAAAAAGTAAAGTCCAAAAACGAAAAAAATTTTTAGAGCTACTTCTAATTTTTAGAAGATTTTTTTAAAAAACACATCCCAGATAATGGCTTTAAACATCTCTAAAATATACAATTCCAGTTCGAGTAATAATATTTTCCCAAAAGGTGGGAGAAATCTAACATTATTCCTATGTGGAAAAATAAATAATCACGCCAAATAATTGTCCTAAATCGATCATTCCAATTCTATCTCCGTGGTTTGAAAAAGCAATTTCTAACCAACAATCTAACCAACTATTAAACTGTTGTGATACCTTGAAAATAATTCGCAATCAGCATTATGATTTTCAAAAATATTATTATGAATAAATCATAAGCTTTATATAAAAAAGAATCGAAACAAGTGAATGATTCTTACTAAGATTGCAAGCTGATAATGACCTCCAATCGTTAGGTAAGTTTATCAGTAGCAACCCGTAATACTGCAAAAAAACCCTGAATGCTTTGTCGTTCATCAACAGCTTTTGCCTTTTACTAAATTTGGTGCTTTGGTAACTTATTAAGTGTTGCAACTATTTTAAGTTCATTAGTTAATATTTTATGCCATAAATTGGGACCTCTAATAGAAATCAAAAATTCAGTTGTTAAGTCAGAGTATGCTAGCAGATTGCTGACTTCCATAACAAAAATCCACTGAAACTTGAACTAAAACAAAAAACATCCCCACAATATCCCCACTTTGCATATTAAGTCTTGGTCTAACGTAATTAGTGGTTAGAAGTACTGAACGGACGCTCAACTTGGTTAGAAGTACTGAACGGACGCTCAACTTGGTTAGAAGTACTGAACGGACGCTCAACTTGGTTAGAAGTACTGAACGGACGCTCAACTTGGTTAGAAGTACTGAACGGACGCTCAACTTGGTTAGAAGTACTGAACGGACGCTCAACTTGGTTAGAAGTACTGAACGCTCAACTTGGTTAGAAGTACTGAACGCTCAACTTAGTTAGAAGTACTGAACGGCCAACTTGGTTGATAAAATTTTTAACAAGGAATATCACCAATCTCTTAAAATCTGTTTCATGACGAAGTTTATTTGAAACTACCTAAGTCCAAAAAAGCAACTGGTAATTCTAAAGCTTGATAATAAAAGTTTTTTATACTTAGTACCTGACTGTTTCAATGAAAGAGAAACCTCTTCAATGAAAGACTTCTTCAGCGATAAAAGTATAGCTATTTTAACAAAAATATTATTAATTAAAATAAAAAAAGTAAATAAAAAAAAGAAGGAGAAAAACTGCAGTTAAACAATAAGAACTTGTAGGACAAATTTTACTGTCAAGCGCTTGAAAAAGGCCGGGAAGTTTTCGCAAAAGCAACTATCTCTCAAATAGCTCATGTTTTAATTTTGATATTGTCTTAATTTTGAGGACACACCATAGTTGCCCAATAATTGACCTTAAAGAAGATTGAAATAAATAAATCACCATGTTTTCACAACTTAAATTTTTGAAGTAGTTAATAAAAGTAACTGTTAGAGCGTTAAGTGATTTGCATTACACAAGTAAAAAATAACCTAAATGTAATAAAGATCTTTGAACATTAGAATTTCACGCCATTTCTTTATTATACGCCATAACTTTATTCTATCACACCCTTATTTATAAATTTGCATTAATTTAAATTCGCTTAATACAAAATGTAAAAAAAATATAGAAAAATTAAGATTTTTCTACTAAGTTTGCTTGGTTGCATTTTTTATATTTAATTCGTCAGAAGAAATAAATTATAATTTTTTGCAAATTATACTTGTTTTAAAAACATTTATTCAATTAAAAGTTTTTGCTTCTTGAACTAAAAATGCTGTATCCTATTTTTCTACACGAATCTCTATTAATTGTAGCATAGATAAATATCTTTCATATTTTGTCGGTAAAGTTGATGTTTACAACTCAAATAATATTGAAGAAAAAAGATTAAGTCATTTGAAACCACTTAATAAAGCATATTTATTAGGATCTCCTTTAAATAGCTGATTTTAATATCAATATCTTTAATCGCTTCAATACTCGCAAAAAAAGTAACGATTAAGTAATTAATTGTCTAAATGTCTTACATACAAATAACATAAATATATATATATATATATATATATATATATATATATATATATATATATATATATATATATATATATATATATATATATATATATATATATATATATATATTTCTGTGTGTGTTATATATAATATATATTTCAATTATTTGAATAAACTATTAATAACTAGTACAAACTATTAATAAAAGTTTTATAGAAGTAATATATATATATATTATATATATATATATATATATATATATATATATATATATATATATATATATATATATATATATATATATATATATATATATAATACATTTTATATATATATAATACATTTAATATATATATTATACATTTTATATATAAAATAACTATAAAAGTTTTATAGTAGTAAAAAAATTGGAATAAGTAACTATAAACATCAAAAAAAATTAAAACCTATCAAAAATATTTATAATAGAAATTTAATAATATTTAATAGAAAATCTTGTTTAGTTTATTATTATCTTGTTAAAAAGCTCTCCAGGAGAGAGCCCGACAAACTGCCGTAACTAATGGAAAGGATTTTTCCTTATTGATTCACTAAACTTAAAACATTTATTGCCATATAAGGTATATAATGGCTGCTCTTTAAACTATGTTATTGTTTATTAAATAATTCTCGCTCGATTTGGTCATTGGTTAATAAATTGGATTGTCTAAGAAGAGTAACTGCCCTGATAACACACCCATTGCAAGACAAAGGTTTTTACGATAAGTAAAGTTCTGTTTTTCAGATTGCACTGCATCAAGAAAGGCTGATAAATTACTTTAGAATCTATAAAGTACTCTGTAATTTCAGCTGTTATATTTCTTTTTACATTCTAAGTAACTTTTAACAATACAATTTTGAAATGGATTCTGGTGGCAAACTCGCTAA